GTTGTGGAACATGCGTGTCCGTGCATGAAAATATACCACACACCCAATTACAATTGCATGTTCAATTCACTACCCTGGAAGTTAATACAGTTGTTAAAGTTGGAACAGCCTGTGGACAGCCGTTCTTCCTTGCATGTCAGTCGCCGACACCTTCTTACAGAGGACAGGCACATCTAGCTGCAGCACGACCCGTATATTTCCGCACGCCGTGTTCTCAAGACATATATTTTTTAACATTTTCAACATGGTGGATAAATCCTTATATGCTCCCGGCAACACACTGAACGTCAACTTTGCCTCCTTATTACACTCACCCCTACTTTAGTGGGAACAATGAGTCTGCGTCTTTGATGCACACAGGAATAAACGCAGATCATACTCTGGCTGCAGCCTTTACCGGTAACTTGCTTTTGATCAAAGTCAATGCGGAAAACCTGCACTCACACAGGTAGGTGGAGGTGAAGGGAATGAGCACTTTTACAGCCTTTTTGGCGATGTGGGGGAACTCGGTCTCCACAGACAGCCACAAGTGGGCAAGTGTCACTTTACACGTATTTTTCTCATTCTTTTGTGTCTCACGCTGCGCCTCCCCTGAAGCTCTCTGGCGCCCCCCAGGGGAGGCACGCCTCACACTTTGAAAACCGCTGCACTCGACGGATCCTTTCTAGCCATAACCAGTGTGTGGTGGGGGGGTATTCAGGTCTGGTTGCCATTACACTGTGGAAGTCACACTGACCTTCCGGTGGTGCACACACTACTGCTGCCTCGTTTCCATGGCTACAGTCGCCGGTGACGAATGTCCGGCTCCGGCACGTACTCAGAGTGTTCTCGTCGCCGCGGCAACCCAGACGCTCGTAATGGAAGAGGCCGGAGCCCGAGCCGAACTGAGAGCGTTGCACCGCTGATCCAATGTCCCTGATAACAAACAATAACAGCATCACTACGGAAGCCCTTGTGGTTTCTGATCTAAATTATTTCCTCTCATGTGTTTATTACTTAAAGGTCCCCTATTATACTCTTTTTCAACAATATATAATATGTCTCAGATATATACAAAACATGTCTCTGAAGTGTTTGGCTGAAATACCAAACAGATCACTGTAGCACGCCATATACCCTTCTGTTTCAGCCCTGTTCCAAAAGTGCTGATGCTGATTCAAAAGTGCTGATTCAGCTTTAAATGCTAATGAGATGCTTCTGGCCACGCCCCTCTGAGAAGTGATTGGTTTAAAAATAATACAATGGTTTTCTAGGGGGAGATTCAGGTGATAAGGTGGAGTTACCTTGGTTGGTTATTGGCTAATGGTTGCAAAACCCGGAACACCATTGTGACATCACAAAGTGGCCAAAATCTGATCAGCTCGTTTTCAGATCAGGTTTTTATATTGATGGTTTTTCGACAAAAAGAGAGGGGTTATTTTTTTCTTGAAACTTTCAGAGTCTCTTAACACAGAGTGGGATACATTTTTATGGTTAAAGGACATGAATAATTGGATTTTGCATGATAGGTGACCTTTAAGAACAGTTGAAAAAAGGATTTGCCAAAATAGTCTTTCAATAAAATGATTGAATAATGGATCCAATCTCTATCTCAGGTGCAGGTTAACAAACATTCTTCTCCAACTTCATAATATTAATTACCTCCCTGATCCACTCTATACAGATAATGTTGGTGCATTGGAGTTAAGTTATGTGTTTATAAAGATCTCTCTTGTTACTGGACAGGTTGAAAAAAAGGTATATATTTTGGTACATGAACACAATATGTATGGGGGATTTTGCTGTAAAAGAAAAGTTTGAAATGCCCAATCCAAATTGTATTTTTGTATTTTATTCCCAGAGAATTGCCACCATTTATTTCGACGGTGACTATTCTCACACACATGCACGCATTTCTACTGTTTTTTTTTACACAGCAGCCCATGTCTTTCGGTCCCCTACAGACCCTCCCCTGTAGTGTGAATATGCATTGTGCATTTCTGTCAGAACGGGATCTGCTGTATATTTTCACTACTGGTTTAAAACAACAGCTCAGGCCTGCCGGAATGAGTGTTTAATACAGTAGAAGAAATAGTGGTACTCAACAAAATGTGAGGACGAGATACATTTCTCCACCTGCGTCTCATTAATTTAATAAACTTATGAGTAAGAAAACCTTTTAAAAATGTGTTTCAGTATTGAAATTATGAGCAACAACATTTCAAATGTAGCTTTGATATTATCTTTAACTACATAAGGGATACTAACAGTGATTTTGACTCCTAATGAAACTTCTGTAAAAATCATCTTAAATTCCACAATTGTTGAATCTTTTCAACGGCAACAAAATATGTCTTCACTTCTTCAACCGTACGGCGTAATGTGCGGTGTTTTTATGCAGGACGCCATTTTTCCTAACTTGGTTTGAGCGATAAAGATAATTGCAGTCACTATTATATCATTGATATAGGCTATTTAAAAATCATGATTTGTTTAGGATGTCCTGAGTCACGCTATTGACAATTCTCTTAAAAACTGTGGTCTGCAGTTCTCTGGAACCAAGGTGGTATCATGTACTGTAGTAGCCTCTTGTGGCCTAAATGAGTATTACAACAACAAATGCCCCTGTTTTCAGAGATGTAGGACAGCAAACTTAGTAAAGCTCCCCTGCCAAAACTTTATTTCACACCTGTTTTACAATATTGATTTTAAGAAACGCTTTCTCCTACCCGAGGCCCAGCTGCCTGCAGATGACACTGGCGTCTCTGTCGGTCCAGTGGGAGTCACACACCGCCCCCCACTGGCCATTCAGGTACACCTCCACACGGCCACTCCCAGAGGCCGAGCTGCCAACCAGACGCGCCGCACCTGAGAAGTGAAAAACAGACGAGACAGTTTAATAAACATGATTTAGGGGGGGCCGCAAAACAAGCTGAAAACACACATGACATTTAATATTACTCTGCTTTGGAAAATATATTAGAAAGCAATGTTCAATTAACACAGCCAACAAAGATAGGAAAACTTGAAGGTGAGTTTTAGGTCTATGTCCAGTATTTAATCTTCTTTTAGCTCTGTTTTGGTCTACGTTAACTATTGAGGGTAATATCTGGCCATTCAGCTGCTAAATACTCTACTATGTTCACAAGCAACTTAGTCACTATTTTTGTCTCTCTGCCACTCAATGCTAACCCCTCTGAAACTTGAGACGGTAAAATATACACTTGGAGGCTCTGTAGAAACTTTATATACGAAATGGCAATGTTTGATCGATTATTTCAACAACCTATCAACACTCCCAACCCAATAGCGGGAAATAATTTCTACTCTTTTTTTTTTTTTTTACATATCTTCTTATTTATGTTTCCTTACTGATCGGTTTTTAGTTTCCATTTTATTTACTTATTGTAATTGATATTGTTTTTTGTCACTGTGTTTTCATTTTTTATATCTGTACGTGGAATCAATGTGTTTTTTAATTAAACTATTCATGGTGGGGTGGGAGGGGAGGAGATGGTTTGTTCTGAAAATGGATGAAGATCATTATCTCAATTGTGACCCTGTGTGATTGTTCCTGTTCCATATAAAAAAAGGTTAGTTTTAATTAATCGGAACTACCTGTAATGCATTTAGAAATATAAAAAATATATTTGTATATATTGTAATATATTTTTTGATAATGTATTTTCTTGATTATCTGTGTTTTTTCTAAATTGTGTGGAAATGTATAACTTGTGCTATAGAAACAAAGCGTATTATTCTTATGGCTATTATTATAAACTGTCGTGGTCAGTCGCGTCCTGGTGGTCCGGGGTCGTACCCTGGTGGCAGTCACAGTAGGCCCATCCGATGGCTCCAGAGTTTTGTCTGAAGAAGCACCAGGGGTTGGACTCTCGGTCGGGGTTCCTGCAGTAGCTGTGGTCCCCCAGCCCCCGGCCCGGGTACTGCATTACATAGTCTGGAAACTCGGTCCACTTCAGACAGGGGGCGCCAGAGTCCGTCTGGGACACGGTGCCGTTGTAGTATCCCAACTCTGTGAATCCCTCAGAGCAGGACAGAGGCACTGCACAAAGAGAAGGGCGAGGGAGGGGAGAGAGCGTTAATGTGGAGGAAGGAGAATGAGATAAGGGGGATTTGGGTCAGGGTGGATAATGTGAATAAAAGGGGAAAAGTTTGGGAGAAGTGAGGGTAGAAAGAGGAGTGGAATTGGTCCTATTCAAGTCCCATTATCCCCATGTCTGTATTTTATCTGAGCATAAAGGCTTACATGGATGATGCTCATATGCTGTCCACTATCACAGCAGGACCCTTCCTAATGCATTTACCCGGCTGATCTACGTTGAACTGGTGAAATGTCCTTAAACCCGCTCTTACTTCACGTGATCACAAGTAATCTTCTCTGAGAAGGACGAGTGAAGCTCAGACAGACTGAGAGGGAAACTGCTGACATCAAAGTGAAGCGGAATCAGGCCCCAAAATATAGAGCAGGTTATAAACTGAGGCCGTGTAAAAACGTACATTAATGAAAAGGAATGATATTTTAACGAGCAGAGTGGTACACATAAAAGTACTATACACACTAATGTGCCCAGAGGTAGTTTTTACTAGATTCATAGAAAGAGGGCCATCCTCTTGGACACAGAACATCTGTATCCTTGTTTAAAGGTTGTTTTTATTATATAAATGATGATGAAATCCATCTATTTTTTCAAGAAAAGCCAAAAATACCTGCTGACAGCAAAGGAGGCACAATAAGAGAGCCACCAATGTCATTACAAGAATGATCGACTTTGGACAATATGCCTATAAAATGTAGTGTGGAAATGGGAGTTGTTAACATGCCTTAGGTTGACGTGTATTGTTAAAAGCAAATGAAAATAGTTTTTGTATTATTATTATTGACTGAAAAGAAAATGCACATATATATATATATATATATAAATATAGCATAAGGGAATATAAATTGTAATGTTTTTATCTGTACACTTTGTACAGTATTGTACTATTTGTTGTTACTTTTTTTCTTGCGTCCTTCCCTCTTTCTTGATTCCTTTCATTACCTTTATCAACGGATCCCCACAATTAACCGTGAATGTTAATTATGAATTTGTCCCATGACCATACGTTCTCTGAAGGATTTGAGTCTTTCTTTGCACATACTGAAGCCCCAGTGTTCTTTGAGGCTAAGCAGCTAGTACACTTTGATTAATGGCAGCGGTTTCTCGGCAACCAGCAGCGGTCTTATCTCCACAACACACACAGCTTGGCCGAACATTATCTACACAGTGCAACCCTCACGCCACCTCACACACCGACATAAATACTAACACAGATTTGTTGCACAGTGACCGAGACAGAAACACACACACACACACGCACACAGTACAGTCACACACGCGCGCGCGCGCGCGCACACACACACACACACACACACACACACACACACACACACACACACACACACACACACACACACACACACGCA